CACCGTCGGGTGCGTGCTCGCAAACTGTTGTCTCTTGGAAACGGATTCCAAGAAAGACTGCTGACGGAATCCGTGAAGAGGAGTAGCAGGAGAAGGAGCATCTGAACGAGCGGAAGATGCCAAACGCTGCATATGCTGCCGCAACGCTGTAGTCCCAACATGGGCCCCCTGGCCACGCTTGACTTTCTGGCCACATAGTCGACATACGGCTACGTTTACTTCCTCGGGCGGCTTGACAAAAAATTGCCACACCGCCGAGTAGGAAACTTTGCCCCCGATACTCCTCACTGGCTGACTGCTGCTTCCTCCGTGCACACCGGCACCACTACTGGCCGTGGTGGTAGGCTGCAGTGGAGCTGGTGCTGTACTCCGTGGCCGTTTGCCTCCACTGACACTGCTGCGACCCTGCTGCCTCCTGGGCAACCCACCGACTGTTTTGCTCGCTGCAAGCTGCCACCCTCTTCTCCTGATGATGCGGAAGCAATAGCCTGATGACGACGAGGCTGCCAAGTGCGATCAGCCTCATCATCATCAATTTAGGGTCTCCGCCTCACTACTAGCCCCCTCGGCTGCGTGTGGGTCAGGAGACAGACCTGTCTCTAGACCGGCTACCGAGCCACTCTCCTCGCCACTACTTCTTCGCCTGGCTGCTGAAGAGGCGGATGTCTCCCCCCGTTCCTGACCGCCCTCTGTTAGCTCTTCCTCACTGTACAGTGGGGCTGAGCCCACAGCATGCGATACTTCGCTTGGTGAGGGAACACCAAAGGACAGGGGCAGGTAGAGGACACGTGATTTCAGTGGGCTTGCTCCCGGGCCATGCCAACTAACGGTTGTGTCTGACGTACCCACCGACCGTTGGCTGTAGGTGTCAGAGGTGACCTGGGAAGAGGAAGACGACCGAGCCAACCAATCGATGACGGCAGGGTTGTCGGGTGGAGACACGACCGCTGGATGACACCGGGAGCACTGGCCTCTGGCTGCGAATAGTGCTGCCTCGACCCCTTCCTCTGCTGCCACGTCTGCTCGCTCCTAAAACATTGCCTCCTCTGCCACTCCTCTGCATGTTGTCTGACATACTCTTTAATTAAACGATTCTGTGTCCCTGAGTAACAATTCTGTGTCTGTCCCTGAGTAACAATTTTGTGTGTGTCCCTGAGTAACAATTCTGTGGCCCTCAGTAACAATTCTGTGTCCCTCAGTAACAATTCTGTGTCCCTCAGTAACAATTCTGTGTCCCTCAGTAACAATTCTGTGTCCCTGAGTAACAATTCTGTGTCTGTCCCTGAGTAACAATTCTGTGTCCCTCCCTGAGTAACAATTCTGTGTCCCTCAGTAACAATTCTGTGTCCCTGAGTAACAATTCTGTGTCCCTGAGTAACAATTCTGTGTCCCTCAGTAACAATTCTGTGTCCCTCAGTAACAATTCTGTGTCCCTGAGTAACAATTCTGTGTCCCTGAGTAACAATTCTGTGTCCCTAAGTAACAATTTGTGTCTGTGTGTCCCTAGTAACAATTCTGTGTCCCTCAGTAACAATTCTGTGTCCCTGTGTGTCCCTCAGTAGTAACAAACAATCTGTGTCTGTCCCTGAGTAACAATTCTGTGTCCCTGAGTAACAATTCTGTGTCCCTCCCTGAGTAACAATTCTGTGTCCCTGAGTAACAATTCTGTGTCCCTGAGTAACAATTCTGTGTCCCTCAGTAACAATTCTGTGTCCCTGAGTAACAATTCTGTGTCCCTGAGTAACAATTCTGTGTCCCTCAGTAACAATTCTGTGTCCCTGAGTAACAATTCTGTGTCTGTCCCTGAGTAACAATTCTGTGGCCCTAAGTAACAATTCTGTGGCCCTAAGTAACAATTCTGTGGCCCTCAGTAACAATTCTGTGTCCCTCAGTAACAATTCTGTGTCTGTGTGTCCCTGAGTAACAATTCTGTGTCCCTAAGTAACAATTCTGTGTCCCTAAGTAAATTTCTGTGGCCCTAAGTAACGTTCTGTGGCCCTAAGTAACAATTCTGTGTCCCTAAGTAACGTTCTGTGTCTGTAGCCCTAGTAACAATTCTGTGTCCCTAAGTAACAATTCTGTGTCCCTAAGTAACAATTCTGTGGCCCTAAGTAACAATTCTGTGGCCCTCAGTAACAATTCTGTGTCCCTCTCAGTAACAATTCTGTGTCCCTCAGTAACAATTCTGTGTCTGTCCCTGAGTAACAATTCTGTGTCTGTCCCTAAGTAACGTTTCTGTGGCCCTAAGTAACGGTTCTGTGGCCCTCAGTAACAATTCTGTGTCCCTCAGTAACAATTCTGTCTGTCCCTAAGTAACAATTCTGTGGCCCTAAGTAACAATTCTGTGTCCCTAAAGTAACGTTTCTGTGGCCCTAAGTAACGTTTCTGTGGCCCTCAGTAACAATTCTGTGTCCCTCAGTAACAATTCTGTGTCTGTCCCTGAGTAACAATTCTGTGTCCCTAAGTAACAATTCTGTGGCCCTAAGTAACAATTTGTGGTGCTAAGTAACGTTTCTGTGGCCCTAAGTAACGAATTCTGTGGCCCTAAGTAACGTTTCTGTGGCCCTAAGTAACGTTTCTGTGGCCCTCAGTAACAATTCTGTGTCCCTCAGTAACAATTCTGTGTCTGTCCCTAAGTAACAATTCTGTGGCCCCTAAGTAACAATTCTGTGGCCCTCAGTAACAACCCTCAGTAACAATTCTGTGTCCCTCAGTAACAATTCTGTGTCTGTCCCTAAGTAACAATTCTGTGGCCCTAAGTAACGTTTCTGTGGCCCTAAGTAACGTTCTGTGGCCCTCAGTAACAATTCTGTGTCCCTCAGTAACAATTCTGTGTCTGTCCCTAAGTAACAATTCTGTGTCCCCCTAAGTAACAATTCTGTGGCCCTAAGTAACGTTTCTGTGGCCCTCAGTAACGATTCTGTGTCCCTCAGTAGTAACAATTCTGTGTCTGTCCCTAAGTAACAATTCTGTGTCCCTAAGTAACGTTTCTGTGGCCCTAAGTAACAAATTCTGTGGCCCTCAGTAACAATTCTGTGTCCCTCAGTAACAATTCTGTGTCTGTCCCTAAGTAACAATTCTGTGGCCCTAAGTAACGTTTCTGTGGCCCTTAACAATTCTGTGTCCCTCAGTAACAATTCTGTGTCCCTCAGTAACAATTCTGTGTCTGTCCCTAAGTAACAATTCTGTGGCCCTAAGTAACGTTTCTGTGGCCCTAAGTAACGATTCTGTGGCCCTCAGTAACAATTCTGTGTCCCTCAGTAACAATTCTGTGTCTGTCCTCTAAGTAACAATTCTGTGTCCCTAAGTAAACAATTCTGTGGCCCTAAGTAACGTTTCTGTGTCCCTAAGTAACGATTCTGTGGCCCTAAGTAACGTTTCTGTGGCCCTAAGTAACGGTTCTGTGGCCCTCAGTAACAATTCTGTGTCCTCTCAGTAACAATTCTGTGTCCCCTAAGTAACAATTCTGTGGTCCCTAAGTAACGTTTCTGTGGCCCTAAGTAACGTATTCTGTGGCCCTCAGTAACAATTCTGTGTGTCCCTCAGTAACAATTCTGTGTCTGTCCCTAAGTAACAATTCTGTGGCCCTAAGTAACGTTCTGTGGCCCTAAGTAACGATTCTGTGGCCCTCAGTAACAATTCTGTGGCCCTCAGTAACAATTCTGTGTCTGTCCCTGAGTAACAATTCTGTGTCTGTCCCTAAGTAACGTTTCTGTGGCCCTAAGTAACGTTCTGTGGCCCTCAAGTAACAATTCTGTGGCCCTCAGTAACAATTCTGTGTCTGTCCCTCAGTAACAATTCTGTGTCCCTAAGTAACAATTTCTGTGGCCCTAAGTAACGTTTCTGTGGCCCTAAGTAACGTTTCTGTGGCCCTAAGTAACGTTTCTGTGGCCCTAAGTAACGTTTTCTGTGGCCCTAAGTAACGTTTCTGTGGCCCTTAAGTAACAATTCTGTGTCCCTCAAGTAACAATTCTGTGTCTGTCCCTAAGTAACAATTCTGTGGCCCTAAGTAACGTTTCTGTGGCCCTAAGTAACTAAGTAACAATTCTGTGTCCCTCAGTAACAATTCTGTGTCTGTCCCTAAGTAACAATTCTGTGGCCCTAAGTAACGATTCTGTGGCCCTCAGTAACAAATCTGTGTCCCAGTAACAATTCTGTGTCTAACAATTCTCCCTAAGTAACAATTTCTGTGGCCCCTAAGTAACGTTTCTGTGGCCCTAAGTAACAATTCTGTGGCCCTCAGTAACAATTCTGTGTCCCTCAGTAACAATTCTGTGTCTGTCCCTAAGTAACAATTCTGTGGCCCTAAGTAACAATTCTGTGGCCCTAAGTAACGTTCTGTGGCCCTCAGTAACAATTCTGTGTCCCTCAGTAACAATTCTGTGTCTGTCCCTAAGTAACAATTCTGTGGCCCTAAGTAACGTTTCTGTGGCCCTAAGTAACGTTCTGTGGCCCTCAGTAAACTGTGGCCCTTAACTGTGTCCCTCAAGTAACAATTCTGTGTCCCCTAAGTAACAATTCTGTGGCCCTAAGTAACGTTCTGTGGCCCTCAGTACAATTCTGTGTCCCTCAGTAACAATTCTGTGTCTGTCCCTAAGTAACAATTCTGTGGCCCTAAGTAACGATTCTGTGGCCCTCAGTAACAAATCTGTGTCCCTCAGTAACAATTCTGTCTGTCCCTAAGTAACAATTCTGTGTCTGTCCCTAAGTAACGTTTCTGTGGCCCTAAGTAACGATTCTGTGGCCCTCAGTAACAATTCTGTGGCCCTCAGTAACAATTCTGTGTGTCCCTCAGTAACAATTCTGTGTCCCTAAGTAACAATTTCTGTGGCCCTAAGTAACGATTCTGTGGCCCTAAAGTAACGTTTCTGTGGCCCTAAGTAACGTTCTGTGTGCCCTCAGTAACAATTCTGTGTCCCTCAAGTAACAATTCTGTGTCAGTAACAATTCTGTGTCCCTAAGTAACAAATTCTGTGTGGCCCTAAGTAACGTTTCTGTGGCCCTAAGTAACGATTCTGTGGCCCTCAGTAACAATTCTGTGTCCCCTCAGTAACAATTCTGTGTCTGTCCCTAAGTAACAATTCTGTGGCCCTAAGTAACGTTTCTGTGGCCCTAAGTAACGATTCTGTGGCCCTCAGTAACAATTCTGTATCCCTCAGTAACAATTCTGTGTCTGTCCCTAAGTAACAATTCTGTGTCCCTAAGTAACATTTCTGTGGCCCTAAGTAACGTTTTCTGTGTGCCCTAAGTAAGTAACGATTCTGTGGCCCTAAGTAACGTTTCTGTGGCCCTCTAAGTAACGTTTCTGTGGCCCTTAGTAACAATTCTGTGTCCCTCAAGTAACAATTCTGTGTCTGTCCCTAAGTAACAATTCTGTGGCCCTAAGTAACGTTTCTGTGGCCCTAAGTAACGTTTCTGTGGCCCTCAGTAACAATTCTGTGTCCCTCAGTAACAATTCTGTGTCTGTCCCTAAGTAACAATTCTGTGTGGCCCTAAGTAACGTTTCTGTGGCCCTAAGTAACGATTCTGTGGCCCTCAGTAACAAATCTGTGTCCCTCAGTAAAATTCTTCTGTGTATGTCCCTAAGTAACAATTCTGTGGCCCTAAGTAACGTTTCTGTGGCCCTAAGTAACGATTCTGTGGCCCTCAGTAACGATTCTGTGGCCCCCTCAGTAACAATTCTGTGGCCCTAAGTAACAATTCTGTGTCCCTAAGTAACAATTCTGTGTCCCTAAGTAACGTTTCTGTGGCCCTAAGTAACGTTCTGTGGCCCTAAGTAACAATTCTGTGGCCTAAGTAACTAAGTAACGTTTCTGTGGCCCTAAGTAACGTTTCTGTGGCCCTTAGTAACAATTCTGTGTCCCTCAATAACAATTCTGTGTCTGTCCCTAAGTAACAATTCTGTGACCTAAGTAACGTTTCTGTGGCCCTAAGTAACGTTTCTGTGGCCCTCAGTAACAATTCTGTGTCCCCCCTCAATAACAATTCTGTGTCTGTCCCTAAGTAACAATTCTGTGGCCCTAAGTAACGATTCTGTGGCCCTCAGTAACAAATCTGTGTCCCTCAGTAACAATTCTGTGTCTGTCCCTAAGTAACAATTCTGTGGTCCTAAGTAACGTTTCTGTGGCCCTAAGTAACGGTTCTGTGGCCCTCAGTAACAATTCTGTGTCCCTCAATAACAATTCTGTGTCTGTCCCTAAGTAACAATTCTGTGGCCCTAAGTAACGTTTCTGTGGCCCTAAGTAACGATTCTGTGGCCCTCAGTAACAAATCTGTGTCCCTCACTAACAATTCTGTGTCTGTCCCTAAGTAACAATTCTGTGGCCCTAAGTAACGATTCTGTGGCCCTCAGTAACAATTCTGTGTCTGTCCCTAAGTAACAATTCTGTGGCCCTAAGTAACGTTTCTGTGGCCCTAAGTAACGATTCTGTGGCCCACAGTAACAAATCTGTGTCCCTCAGTAACAATTCTGTGTCTGTCCCTAAGTAACAATTCTGTGGCCCTAAGTAACGATTCTGTGGCCCTCAGTAACAAATCTGTGTCCCTCAGTAACAATTCTGTGTCTGTCCCTAAGTAACAATTCTGTTGCCCTAAGTAACGTTTCTGTGGCCCTAAGTAACGATTCTGTGGTCCTCAGTAACAATTCTGTATCCCTCAGTAACAATTCTGTCTGTCCCTGAGTAACAATTCTGTGTCCCTAAGTAACGTTTCTGTGGCCCCTAACTAACGATTCTGTGGCCCTAAGTAAACGTTTCTGTGGCCCTAAGTAACGATTCTGTGGCCCTAACTAACGTTTCTCTGTCCCTAAGTAACGTTTCTGTGTCCCTAACTCTCTCCCTGCATACAGCCAGGTCTGCCTCTGTTGAATGACTGGAGGCAAATGGAGAATTCTAAAATGGCCGCTATTTATAGCTCGACCATTACACTGTGCTGGCTGGCTGGCTGCTGATTGGCTAATGCGATCACATGTCATGAATGAATGCATTATGGGTCAGCGCGCCTTGTCTGCGCGCCTTCCCAGACATCCCCGCTCCGTCGCCGCACATGTCGCCGCCATTTTAGGAAAAATTCCGAAGTCTGCTTATTTTCGGATTCGAAACGAATTCCACTTTGCCCACTTCGCCTACTTCGATTCGCTCATCTCTACAAATGATCATAAAACTCACTCGTTCATTTTTTGTTTTAATTATGTTTTGATGAATTCCCAATATAGTGCCATCACACTTCTACACGCTTCAACTTTTCACCAGAACAGAAACAGAGAAAGGGAAATCTTGGGAATAGGAAAAGGTGTTTCAGTGACAACTGTCTAAAGTTGGGTGTGCACTGTGAGGTTTTTTTTTCTTAAACTAGCAGGCTGAATGGAACCCCCCACCCCCCAAAGATTACTGCATTCATACAAGTGATGTGAATGCAGGAATCCTCGCCGCTGCAGTAAGATAGAATGAGTCCAGGGACAGTCAACAAAAATGGTGAAAGATCTGAGGGATAAACATATTAGGAGAGACTTCGGGGATTTAGTATGTGCAGTCTGGAAGAAAGAAAGGAATGGTAAGACATGACTGAAACCTTTAAATACATTAACCCTTTGAGGACCAAGGGTCGTATTTGTCCATGTTTTTAATTGCGTGTATCATCTGATTAAGAACTTAAAACTCTTTTTTTTTTTTTGGTTTGAGTCAAAATATTAGTTCTGATCAACAAACAACAAATGGATCTAGCTTTTTGCCAATTATTTCATGAAATGACTTAGTTACAGCAACTGAAGTGCACGAACTTTAAAAACAAAAAAATTGATTCTTTTGGCGTTCCAAAATCTTATGGTCCTCAAAGGGTTAAGGAGGTGCATAAGGTTCAGGAGGGCAGCACTTCCAAAAATGAAGACAAGATCAAGAACACGAAGACACGACCTCAAAAGGAAGATAAAACAGTTTGCTTTAACTGCTTTTAAAGTATTAGCTGGAGTTTGGCTTCAATTTGTTAGTGTAACTAAATCAGCTAGTTCATCTAACACTCTCCTCCCACCAGACTGACAATGCTACTGTTCAAAGGCTCCCCCTGTGCTCCTTCATCCAGAGTGGGGGCACCGTAATGCAGGATGCACATATTCCTTATTGAGTTACTGTGCATTGACCAGGACACAGCATTATACTGTGAACTGATATCCAAAGGTGCAGGACTGCTGAGACAAATCCAGAACAGTTGGCATCTATCTTTCCTCCTTTCTCTAAAGCTGGACATAGATGGATATAAATTTAGATAGTTTAGCAGGGAATGGCCTCATTTCAATCCATGTGTGGCCACTGCAGTTGAACAGAAGTCGATCTACCAAAGACCTCTGTTCAATTGCCCTATTGGATAAAAGACACTCAACCAGTGGCTGCAGCATTGACCTGTGTATCTGACAGCAGGGGAGTCTCCCTGCTGTCAGAATACAATAGTGCAGTGGGGAAGATTCCCTCATCCACCTCCATTGTGTGGATGGATGAATTGATTCCGTTTTTTTCATTGAGCATTCTGGCTGAAAGAAAAATAAAAAAACAAACCATGTATGGCCAGCTTTCTTTCTTTCTTTATGCATTTATTTGTTTTTATACCAAAACTTCTTGTGTTTTACTAATATGTGAGCCATATTTCATAATTTCAGAGGATTGCAACATTGTTACAGTAAATGGTATGATAGTATTCAACACGGGGCTGTTGGTGCCTCGAGCAAATTGAAATAAATGGCTTCCTAAATGTCCTAAACCTCTAACCTATCCCTAACTGTTTGAAAAACCTAAATTTAATTCCGCTCGTACCTTAAACTTAACACTTGACCTAATCCTTTAAAAAGAACCCTTTTTTTTAAGTTTTTCTAAATGCAGATGGTTTTTTTAACTTAATGCATTGCACAGTGGTTAAATGGTTAGCACTTCCACCTGGTAGTACTAGGGTCATTGGTTCGCCTCCCAACCACGACACCACCTGCCTGGAGTTTGCATGTTCTCTCTGTGGCTACGTGGGTTTCCTCCCACACTCCAAAGACATGCTGGTAAGTTTTTACAATTTAGACAGGATCCTGTCTAAATTGGCCCTAGTATGGATATGTATGAATGTGAGTTAGGGACCTTAGATTGTAAACTCCATGAGGGTTAGGGACTGATGTGCAATACATATATATATATATATATATATATATATATATATATATATATATACACATGAAAAGCGCGGCGTAAATTAATGGCGCTATATATATATATATATATATATATACCTGCAATAATATTGTGTTTAGGTAAAAAACCTTCTGAATGCAGCTCTCCCCTCAGCCTCCCTTTTCTTAACTGAGCCCTATCCCAAACCAGCAATGTGTAAGAGAGCAGAGGCTGTCTCAGCTCAATCCTTCCTCATTGGCTCAGACACAGAAGGAGGAGCCATTGGCTCCTGCTACTTTCAATTGCAGTCAGTGATGAGGGGGTGGGGTTGAGTCCCGTTGTCTGTGTCAATAGACGCAGGCAGCAAGATTTGGGGGTGAGCCCGCACGAGTGCCCCCATAGCAAGCAGCTTGTTATGGGGGCACTTGGCGGGAGGGAGAAGCCAGGAAAGCTGGTGGGAGACTTGAGAAGAGGATCGGGGCTGCTGTGTGCAAAACCATTACACAGAGCAGGTAAGTATGACATGTTAATTATTTTAAAGAAAAACGTTTTTACTTTTAGAATCACATAACTTCTAAAACTTAATCTGACCACACACTGAAAAGAGAGAGGCACTAGCAATACAGAGCATCTCTTAGCTATGGAGTGAGGAAGGGAAAAAATTATTTAATGGCAAAAAACAACAATACATGTGTAACATGGTAACCAGCATCTTTAAAACTGCCAGGTTTTAAGAATACCTGTAGTCTCCTGTGTTTTTAAAGAAGGTCACTATATGCGCATTTGTAGTAGAAAGTTGTAAAGGTCTACAGTAAGATTCTCTCCTAATCTGTTATAGAACAAAACTGTTAGTAATATTAAATGTCAAAATCAGCAGTTTTCATCTGATGACTTTTTGGAATATATTTTAGGAATGCTGCAGAATCTCCAGACATATGTCCCCAGGATTTCATGTAAACATAAAGAAGGGTGCACCAAGACATGTTCATTGTGTTGCCAATTCAATACAAGCCATTTGTGCAAGTACCTTTTATGCACTGAAGAATAGACAATAGCTTACCATTACCCTTTAAAAGCTCTTGATTGCCTATAATTAGCTGGTCTTGTTTTTGTAAAAGAAGGTGATATTATACTGTCCCTGTAATTCTGGAAGCAAAATCAATGTGCCTCTGAAGTTGCAAAGAGGCTGAACAAAATAAAACTGCTGTGGTTTGTTTAAAGCCGCTATTTCTTATTAGGGTAAAATTGTCCCAATTAAAATGGTGTTGTGTGGTCCTAAAAATAGCACAATGCATCTCCAGATTTCCCAGATTTTCTAAACACATCAAAATTTCTTTCCTAACCATTTGTGGTAATTGCAGACAGACAGCATGGAAGTGTAATGTGCTAGAGCACTTGCAAGTAATGTGTGCAGTTGGTAAATAGGACAATCAGCAGTATGTGCACAGAAGTATTCGAAAATCAGCATCACTGCAATTCACTATAGAGGGGACATAAAATACTGCGTAGTCAAAAAAGAATGTTTTTGGGTAATAGCCTGGCACATTGG